ATCAATGAACTGTAAGATATTTATTAATTCTTTAGCTTTGCAATACATAAAACATTAAAGAACTGTGAATGAATCTCTATAAAGTGTGAAATAACTGTCCAAAATATTAAGAACTATAACTAGGTATCCATCAATGATCTTGAGTGTTGTTAGAGGTCCTTGAATATCCAAACCAATGGTTGGAGACTCTGAATGACGTGCCTCAGAATCAATCACAATGGTGTAGGTGTATACACTCTCTGTCTGCCCTTAAACGATGAGATTAAAATTTCTTTATATCTTTCTTTCTTCCCGTACTATATCCTTATATGCAATCTTTCTTTTATATATTACCATCACTGACTTAACCACTCCTATGAATCCAGTGTTTATTTTGTTGTGCTGATGCGGTATGGTAACTTGGACCGATGCATATATGTGCCTGGTCCTACGTTTTAGCTGACTGACTGGGATAACCATCAAACCTTATTATAATTAGCAGAGAAAGTAACTCAAATTACTAGATTAAATCTTACTGGTAAATATTCTATCTGTTATATTGACAAAGAATTATTGATAGATTAGTTCAGTTTATTGGATTCACATTTAAGTAAATGAACAGTCTACACATGTCTTCTATAGTTTACTTGATAATGTATGATCATTATATGATTAAAATTGAGTAGATCCAATTTCAGAATATTGATTTTTCAAATTTTTTTTGTGATTAAATTCTCTTTCATTTTACAAGCTTCCTGGATATTGTTTGTATTTTATATTTTTTTCTTACTGAATGTTTTTAAGACAAGACAAAAAAAATAGTTGATGGAATCTATGGCTTAATAAGTTTACATTTCATTTATTTTTACTTTGTTTCGATAAATTCATCCATGTCTAATGTTCAACTAATATATATATATATGTATTTCTCATTCCTTACCTTTTATTCTGTCTAACTTATTTTTGTCAACCATATCGGGAACAATACACATTATCTTTTTTTTCTGGTGTGTGTAATTTATTTGTTTATTTACATATCTGCATATGTGTTCTTGTATGTATTTGTGTTAATCAGCTGTAATCCAACTAATGTGCTACAATAAGAAACAGATATGAAAACAAAAAAGAAAAAGAAACGACTTCAAAACTATCTTTTTAAATATAGATCACAATGAAGTAAAAGTGAATTTTGAAAAATACACAGGGGGGTATGTTGTTTGTTATTGTTGTTAAAAGAACCAAGTACAAACCATGGAGACTGTTTTAATATTACGTATGGAGATATTTTATCATGATCGAAACCAACAAAAAATCCGGATAAATGAAATTTATGAAAAAAAAATAACTGACAATTATAGATTAAAAAACTGAGTATAGATTAACGAAAGAAAAAAATAACCACTCATTACATAGAAACAGAATATACTTCATTATATTTTTAGATTAAGTAATAAATTTTCATCTTGATACGTTATAATAAGTATCCACCTCTCTTCTACTCACAAATGAAACCAATTTCACCTTCAAAGGTTCTGTAGCAGTACATATATATACAAATGTAGGTTTAAAGCATTTTTCTAATCACTTATGTACCAAACTACTTCATTCGAAACATTCGAAGCTTATGGAAACTGGTATTGTATTTTATGGACCTCAACATTTACATTAGAATAATCTTTCAAGTTAATAATGAACCATTAAATATTAGATTTACAGTTTCTAAATAACTGCTCTTAAGAATCATACTAAAAACCTGTCTCAATTTGTTAACAAATAAAAACACATATTACTGTGATTCAGTAAACTATTAATGCCCGCAAATGCTCTGGTACAACCGAGAGTTCTCCCTCTCAAAATGCTCTCACATGACCACACGCATACAACCGCTTACAGTGAAGCCCTACTCACTGCCTTCTCGCGGCGACGGTGCTGCTTACAAAAATAAGAGGACGAAAAGGGAATGTTTGGTGCTTTAACCGGGTTGGTGGACACGGCAAGTCCACCTATGGCAGTTGGAAAACCCTCATTCCAAACCAATCGCCCACATGGGTTTCTGAAGGAACAAATGGCGTATGAAACAATCGTTGGTCACCGGTTACTATGGAATTGCAACCTCCTGACGTTGTTCCACAGCCTTGTGGATCAGACCTTTAGGTCAAAGGCTTCGGGTGTAGCTCCCTAAGAAAACCACTTGCTTCGGTTTAGCTGTCCTGGATGTACCACAGCCTACACACAAATCAAGTGACTTGTGTGACGTATATGTATTCGGTGACCCCTTGTACCAATATTTATATGTTCAACCCATAGTACAGTCGAATAATGAACGTGTCAATTGAAATAATAATTAAAATACATGAAGAAGATTCTGTTTATTAACATTATGACTATAAAATTTCAATTCCAACTTTCATCTCACTGCATATATACATACGATGATTATTTATAAATAGAAATTATGTAAATATTTGTGAAATGAGAAATATGCAAAATGAATATCATATTAATCATTTTAATTAAACTACGATTAGTTAGTGAAATATTACGACATGTCCCAGAGGTAAAACAAATCACAAATGGAACACTATTCATTTAAAAATCTGTAGCGTTAATGGGTATTCTATTTTTTTTAAAATTTAAAAAAACAATCGTATCATAACTATCAACGAATATGCAACAGAAGTTTAATGGATCATATAATACAACCATCATACTTTTTCACTGGTTGAAATTATGAGTCAATTTAAGCTAAACCACCATGAAAAACATGGAAGCGCTGGACGGCCGTTTCGTCCTGATATGGGACTCCTCAGCAGTGAGCATCCACGATCCCGCCTCGCTAGATTCGAGCCCAGTACCTATCAGTCCCGCGCCAAGCGCTTAAAGTGCCACAACACAGTTCATCTATATATTTATGATTTATAAATGATCAATAAACTGTAACATCTCTAACGAGATAAACTTAAAATTATTAAGATTTCGTTCTTATTTCTATGTGTTATAATATAACTTATGCTTTAAAATTGGTAGTTAGCTTAATCATTAATAAAATCATTATAGTTCTTCTTTATACAGCATACAACTATTTACTAAACATGTTCATGTCATTGTCTTTCACATTTGATAATACTGATCCTGATCTTAATCAACGAAACAAACTTCTTGTTTATGAGCATAAAAGTGGTCTATATTTCATAATGACAAGATGACTTAATTAATTCTTGTTGTTTGTTAGCACTAATTTAAAAAACTATCAATTGAATACAACTAAGACTAAAAGCTCCATTCATAAGGTTAGATTAAATAGTATTGACTTCGAAGATTTTTGTAAAAATGACTTGAAAACAAATGAACAAACATTATGATAGTATGGAGTTGATATATATATATATATATATATATATATATATATATATATATATATATATATAATAGTTGAATTCATCAGTCAATTGAAGATAGACCACCATGAAAAACCTGGAGGCACTGGACGGCCGTTTCATCCTAGTATGGGACTCCTCAACAGTGCACATCCACGATCCCACCTCGCGAGATTCGAACCTTATATTTATTAATTCAACTATCAAAATTACTATTATACCTAAAAAAACCTTCTCTGATTATATTTTTACGTGTTAATTTACTATAACTTATGGTTTAGGTTATGTAATCAACCAGAAACTGTTTTTGGTAGTTACACTGACTACTGAATATTGATGTGTATTTCTTTGAGTTTTCGCATGAATAAATTTAGATTTTCACTTGTTTATAATACGTATTTATAAAGTTCTTAAAGTTCAATAAGCTCTGTTTATGATTTAATTACTTTTATTCACGAAAGCAATGACTTAAATGTAACCTAAAATTTCTCATCCAGACTTGTATAGAAATTGTTATGCTTTAACTGATTCCTTATTACGGTTTTACACTTTAATAATTGTGGTCTTATCCACAATATCCCTATACTTAGAATTATTTACAATTACCAGTCAGAATTGTATTCTAAGATTAGAAAGAACTGGTTTATTGTTATGTTTATTAATTGAAACAAACAGATAATATAATAATAATTTGTTGAAAACTTTTACTGAAAGGTATAATATTGAAAGAGGTTACCTAACCACATTAACTATAATTAAAAGAAAATAACGAAAAAAGAAATTCAAATTTTAAACGATATTCATTCTCAGAATATTGTCTACCAAAGCAGTCTAGTTATTGGATGTTTTTCTGAACGAAATAATGCAACTTAAAAGAATGGAACCCAATGAAATAAGCCATACTTAGTACACCTATTTGCACACTATACAGCAAATCATCAAACAGTTCAAAAGCTCTTGATTACTCTTATTTATCTGTTGCTTGGAGATGAAGTAAACCGTTTAGAAAATTGACAACTAACTTTGCAAAGTGTTAGCACAAAGTGAGTTCTTTTAAAAGAAGAGTTGAAATGGTAGACACACAAACGGATGAAAATAGATTCAAGTAATTTTTAACATACTGAGTGCTTGTTTAATAGTTTAGCATTATAGTTAACGTTTAGTACACATACTGGTGACAGGTCTAATTAAAAACTAGTCTAAAATGAATTAGAAATAATTACTACTAGATGACACTTATAATTTCTGACAAATATTTTATGTGCAATATATGAATGTTCAAGATGACAATTTCATTATATCACCTTGAATGGAAAGCACTAATTATAGGTGCATAGTTACATCCATGTAGAATTAGTTCAGCCAATCACTATTTACTCAATGAAACTTGGCATTTTGAAGAATTAGTCGCTTATCCGTTGATGATAAGCTACTCAACCACTGAATGCATACCAAATATAACTTAGAAAACAATATAATAGTTAAAGCATAGTATGGTTCTAAAAAATAGATCCAGTTTATAATATTTAACTGTATGCTTTAAATGTGAAGAACATTGTGATTTTTCAAAATAACTAAATTAATGTAACCATATTTAACTAAGAGATAAAATATATTTTCTGAATATGTGAATTCTTATTAAAGGTACTGAAATATGGAACGAGGAGCTACTTTTAAAAGAAAACTTCATAAATGGATCACCTAACCTATGTCAAAATGGTAGACATCAATCACCGATTAATATTATGACCAAAAATCTTGTTTATGATCATTCACTATCCGCAATGGAGATAGAAGGATTAGAAAAGCAAGTAAATTAGTTATAATAAAAACTTTTTTGATAATTCAGTAACCTTGCTTTATTAACATTTCTGATAAACTGTTTAGTCAGATTAACACTTAAGCTTCTCTCTCTCTCTACGTCCTCAATAATTTAATGAATGAACCCCATTTTCCAACATGATATCACAAGCTAACTTTAAGTTGACGAAGGAAGATAACGAACTGGCAAAGATTGACTTTCACTGGATATTATTTTACATGATTTACTTTATCTACTATTTGCTATCATATTAAGAAGTGATTTCACATGAAAATGTCCTGAACATGAGTATACCATTGGTTTTTAATATGCAGTTCAATTTCACCCTAGAAATGAGTTGAAAACTAAACTTCTAAAGAACTAACTATCAATGGATAAAACGATTATCTTTACAATTAACGAGTAAATTTTTGTCATTTATTAAAATGTGAACGAAATTTAGTGACTAGTTACATCATCACATAGCAGTTGGACAAATAATTTAGACTAAGACATAAAACAAGGATATTTTACTACTAGAATGTCGAAAAAATGATCAAAATAAGAATAAAACATACATTAAAACCTCTTTGGTTTCTTCTGGCTAATAAGTTTTGCTACAGTTATAACTTCTATATAGTCGGAAAATTTTGTTAAAAAGGTTGTCTGAACAATGTAAAGCATAAAATCAATCTACTAAATATGTATTCACTGAAGGTCTTTTAATATCCACATTTAAATTTTCAATCAAAGAGGGGGTTTGTGGATATCTTAGTAATATAATAGTTGAATTCATGAGTCAACTAAAACTAGACCACAATGGAAAACTTGGAAGCACTGGATGGACGCTTAACCACTAGACCACTGAGCCGGCCGGTATACAATAGTGTAGATGTTTAACTCCAACTAATCCACAAAATTATGCTACCGTCCATTATTTGCTTCAGTGAGTTACTATCTCACAACAGACCTGGTTGAACTCCACTAGTCACTGCTTCTCATCAGAACTCCAGGAAATGCTTCTTGAAGCCAGTCACTAGTAAGCATTAGTTGATGTTAGTTGAAGTTGGACATTAACATCGCTGGATGCCGGCTCAGTGGTCTAAAGATCAAGCGTTTGTGCGCGAGACTAATAGGTTCTGGGTTCGAATCTCGCGAAGCTGAGTCGTGGATGAGCACTACTGTGGTGTCCTATACTAGGACGAAACGACCGTCCAGTACTTCCATGTTTTCCATGGTGGTCTAGTTTTAATTGACTCATGAATTCAGCTATTACATTTAAAATTATTTAGTGTATAACGATGTAACCCAAGTTCCCATAAACTTTTAGTTATTCTATATTCATAAGAATATAATTCATTAATCTAACCAATAGTCATACAAATCGAATCAATCACAAAGGTAAAAAAAACTAATTGATTATAACTTTATACTACTAACAAATATGAATACAATAAAACAGACTCATCGATTCAAACACATATCTATTAAATATTCAATTGTCAAATACAATTTTTTTACATTATTCTCACAGTTCTTAGTTATTTTCATTTATGACAAGTGTCCATTTACAAACATTTGTATTCAATGTTATAAATGACAGAATACTCTATTATCTAATATTTTTTTGTTGTTACTTACTTACTTACTTACGCTTGTTACTCCAAATGGAGCATAGGCCGCCGACCAACATTCTCCAACCCACCATGTCCTGGGTGTTTTTTTCTTAAATAAATTCAACATACATAACTCTCTATTCAATAATCCTAATTCAATAAGTGTAATTAGTTATTCTATATCTTTATTCAGATCGTATAAATCTACATTTTTATTTATTTATAATGAACTTTTGTTTAAATGACAAATTACATTATTTATCATTCATAAAATAGATAGATAGATAGATAGATAGATGTATGTAATTGTCTAATTCAATTAACCTAAATTATGGGAATAATAAATATATATTCTGATTAGATAGTATGTTCCTTTAATGGAAAGATAATAGTTGAATACATTTTTTTCTACTATAGAATAAACAAAATGAATGAAAACTGTTTAATTATGATTAGTTTTCCATCAAATTTTCCTTATATAATTCAATCGTTTATGATGTAATGATATATATATATATTATGATAAGGCGTTCTGAATCTTATATGTTGGAGGATGAATGACCTATAAATTGATTTTGTCCAATGGTTTATGAAACTGGTCATATACGTTGTTTTTTTTAAATGGTTTGTGTACTAACATATTATTTTATAAAATAAGAAAACTTATCCTCTGATATCAGTTGTGTTAAGGGGTTACATTAATGATTCAGTCTTGTGTGTAGGCGTGACTATAATTTATGAAGTACCTTTGAACGAATCTAATATGACCTTAAGAAATATTAGCCAGTCGGAAAACAGTTCGTATAGAGTAAAAATATACACTTGTTTTACATGGTCCAAAAACTTGTCAGGGTTAGAAAGAGGTTCAAAGGTTCTAAAATCGTAACGAATGCAGTAGAGAGAATCATCCATATGGTTCCATAATAGTCGGCCTCCGGTGCCATGATAAGGTCGCAAAAACTCTTTCAGCTTCGACCACATAGATTCAGTATTGTCTGTATGCACTGCGGTTGTTGGGTTCACAAAATGCCACCTGTGGATAATGACACGATACACATAAACAAGTCTGTGTAGCCATCTGTACGCTCTCTAATCATCCATATATATTGTAGTACCCGGTAGCAGCCAGTGTTATTGGTGATTTTATTATTCGGTTCGCAACAACCGTCATAACTTGTCCTAGTCTCAATCTGGACCTGGCGAATAAAGTCCTATTCTAGCAGACTTCCTCCAACACATATTAGATCAAAAGACAATAACCTCACAGTGGTCTGCACAAGGTTCACAAGTAATTTGATTACCACAATCACAAATAGAGAAACTTCTTAGTAGCCCAATTATCACGTTTTCTCTAAAATCCACTGTGAACCGATCATACGTGAGTATCAGGTTCTGAAATTGGCGCCGTGATCTTGAAATACCTGAAACGCTTCTAATTGACTCGTTCATAAATTACAGTCTCACCGAACAATCCTCAAATATCTTTCCGTTAAAAATCATGAAAGTTAATCTATAAGATGATATAAATTGCAGACGAAATTCAGCTAGAAAACCATTAAAAATAAGTCAGCACTGGACAACCGTTTTTTTTAAGTGAATGTTGAGTCAAAAGGTTATAAATTTAAAGTCAGTTTCCAGTGTAAACTATCTTCAAATTGAACAAACTTTACAATTCATCTACCTCATACTCTACAATGTGTTCTTTCTCTATACTTGTACATCAAGTTATAAATAAAGTGTGATTTTTCTAATGTCTTTGGAATATCCCACCTATCTTAGTCTCCAAATTTATACATTTCAAATCATATTAGATAAATGGCTTGATATAATAAGATTTTCCGGCAACGAAAACATTCAAATCATTTTATAAATCTATGGATTAACAGATATATGAGCTTTGTATTTGATGGTCAGAGATAAAGTCTCTACACAACTTTCTTTTCAACACAGCCGATACTATCAGAAGGCGTTTTGTGGAGATTTATAGAAATTTCACTGATTCAAATCATGAGTCAATTGAAACTAGACCACCATGGAAAACCTGGAAGCACTGGACGGCCGTTTCGTCATAGTGTGGGACTACTTAGCAGTGCAAATCCACGATCCCTCAACGATACTACAAATCACGAATATCTTCAATTAGTTTGTTGCGAATGTGTTTATGAAATTAGTTATCATTAAGAAAAAATTGTGATATGACTTTTCTAGATAACCGATAACTAAATCTATGTTTCTATAGGAAGAAATTAATCAAATATCAAAGACCCACTCTGGATACTCTTGGTGATAAGTATTATATTTTAATTAGTACATTGTTTTTTAATATATTTATTTTGTTTATAAGCTTGAACTAGTCGTTGAAAATTGTGGATACGATATACGTATAAGTTTAACTAACGAATTTGTACAATTAAATGGTGGTCCATCCTCATATGCTTATCGAATTTCTTTTATGCAAATTAAATTTGGATCAACATCAACTCAAGGATCAGAGCATACAATAGATGGTAAAGCATTTCCAGGTGAAGTAAGTAAGACTATTTCTATTTATAAGTAGTAAATTATTCTAGTTATAAAGTTATTCTCCTTAATAAAATATTTATTCAATCTGTTTAATTAGTTTACTTTAAGGATCAATTACAACTATATATTTATGTGTTTTGTTTTTCATTTTATACCCTGTTTTGCATTTAAAGACTCATGTTTTGTACCACAATATTTTAGTTATTTTATTTAATTGTAAATGCTTCTTTATCATTATGCTTAAGTATATGCTTAAGTATAGTTTATTTATAAATGATTGGCATTAACGCCAAACTTAATTAGATTTAAAGTAATCAATACTCACTGTAATTTATTTCCATAGAAAAAGCCTCTGTCTCTCTCTCTGTGTGTTAAGTTTGACCATGAAACTAACTATGAAACATAATCATATAATCATTTATATGGAAACTATAATTCATTGAGAACCTGTGGATAGTGTAAACAATTGTTTACAAATTGTAAAACTTACATTGTAATGCATCATATGCTTTATAAACATGAGGATTTATATTGTTCAATCACAAATTTGATAAATAAATTTTTGTTTCAGAATGGGTTTTTGTGGAGAGTTTAAGAAATTTCACAAGTTGAAATCATGAGTCAGTTGAAGCTAGACCACCGTTGAAAACCTGGAAGCACTGGACGGCCGTTTTGTCCTGGTATGAGACTCAGTGGTCTAGTGGTTAAGTGCTCGCGCGCGAAGCCAGTAGGTCCTGGGTTCGAGCCCCGCGTGGTGCGGGATCGTGGATGCGCACTGCTGAGGAGTCCCATACCAGGACGAAACGGCCGTCCAGTGCTTCCAGGTTTTCAATGGTGGTCTAGCTTTAACTGACTCATGATTTCAACTTGTGAAATTTTTGTTTGTATATTTAAGAATCTATGGATTTTCTAGCAGAGTATAATTCAATACACACCACACAATATCGTGGTTATCTTTCTGTATTAAAAATGATTTTCATCCTTCACAGTCATATTTATATAGATGCTTAGACTATTATAACATTACTATTAGTGTGTGGATTGTTTGTAATAATGAAACAATGTGATATATTTATAACATCTCAATAAGTAGAAAATTGGATTACTGATATCAGTTTTCTTAATAATAGGCTTATCGATAAAACGTAGAAGTACATTCTACAGAGTGTTTTAAACCTGAGCATTCATTTGTCACTACTCATTGTTAAAATCTGAATGTAAGTCCTGTAGGTTTTCTTTCTGGTATTACAACTTGTATCATCCAGTCCTTAAACTATTGACATTAATAACTGATGTCTAAAATACTTGTCATAAACATTTATCATTATATCTGATCATACTAATTTTCAATTCACAGTGAATATTCAAATTGTTTGCTTTCATCTATTCCATATACATAAAACAAAAATAAATTTTATAAACAAAAGTTCCTTTTTAAAATATTTTAGGACCAGTTTAATTTACAATCATTAAACTGGCGTTTTTAGGGAGTTAGTTTTTTAAAGGATGGGGTCGTTAATTTCATGCCCAACCCTCCTCCTTCATCAAAGTTTAAGACAGGAAGTAGCCCTAGAGGGGCTCCAGGCGGAATAAACTAAACTTATAGATATCTGAATCATTCACTTTAAGAAAGAGTTTCTTGCAAATATCACTATTACTGTAATTATAATTTGAGTCGAATGAATCAAAAAAATATACAATAAAACTTTCAGACAAATCATTCATACATTCAAATTGACTTCACAAAAAAAGTAATGACTTGTTTCTTAAAACAAACTTTAATTTCAGTCTTTAACAATTAAATATCGTCGAAATTTTTTTCCTCCTTTTGTAGCTTTCAAAAATACGATAAATGTTCACTTCGGATTGTATGTTTATTAAAATTAAATAAGTGACTTAGAAATAAAACTAATTAAATATCAACTATTGAATTACTGGTTTGAATTCCATTTAGACTTAATTCGATTTGTATAAATATCCTTCATTCATTAAGTATTACTTAAAGATTGATTTTTAAACCTGTTGTTAGTTACTGAATTTACTAATATTTGCATCAGCTGAACACTGAATAATAACCATGGTACTGATTAAATTATATTGATTCGTTTGCTATATGGTCACTAGTCTAAGCACTGCTGAGGAGTCTCACAATGGGACGAAACGGTCGTCCAGTGCTTCTAGGTTTTCAGTGGTGGTTTAATATCAATCGGTTTATGATCTCAATCAAAAACTTAATAATCTCCACAACTTCTATATTACTAATTTACATGTTTTATTAAGAGTTTTTATTAAGTTAACCTATATTGAAAGTTATCGATGAATTAAACTTTTATGTCTAGTGCTTAGATCATTGATATATCGTGTACAACTTGAGCACTCCTAGTCGCAAATGAAATGACAGAGGAAGAGTGAGAAGGAATGCCATTCCGAACAGTATCAAATATGTTACAAAACTCTCAAGTATTTATATATTTTAGTAAAAGTGAAGGGAATTTATCGAAAAGAATATTTTTCGTTCAAATATTAGTCTTTTTATATGATGGTGATCTTTGAACGATTAAAAGTGAAATCATCATTATAGTCTTCCAATCCTCAACCAGTGATCTTTGGCATTTGTCCAATAGGAAAGCTACACGTCGAGATCCTGGATAGTTCTTCCAAACGATGATTAGATGAAATGTATTTGTTTCTTTCTGAGTTTCTTAGAGCTTCGTCAAATTCATTCTTGGGCCGTCCTCATATAAACTTTATTCTTGAAAAAAACTATTATTGAATAGTTTCCAATAAAACTACTATTCTTTGGTGAGGTAGTAACTCACTGATGACATTGGTGGATCTGTCGCTCAATTTTGTGAATTAGTTGAAGTTAGACATTAACACTGTTTGGTGCCGGCTCAGTGGTCTAGTTAGTTAAACGCCTGGCGCAAAACTGGTAGGTCCAGGGTCTGAATTTCGCGAGACGGCGTCGTAGATGCGCACTGCTGAGGAGTTCCACAATAGAACGAAACGATCTTCCAGTGCTTTGAGGTTTTCCATGGTGATCTAGCTTCAATTGACTCATTATCTTAACTGTTGAAATATCTACAATCTTCATAAAACCCCTTCAAATAATAATTCATCTACTCTTTATTTTGATAACGGAAATGAATAATAAATAGTTTGTAATTATATGATATAATAATTATTCAACTTATTATTAAAATAAACCCTTATCTTCTCTTTATTTAACCAATATGATTATTATCAATACTATTATTACATAACTATTGTTATTTCAAATAAATTATACTTTATCAGTTTTTAATTGACTATAGCAACAACAACAACAACAACACCATCACCACCACCACCACCACTAAAAAAAGACAAACATTTCACTTGATTTTATCCTCAAATAAAATTGAATTAAAATTTTGATTTGTTTTGTTTGTTTGTTTGTGTTTTTAAAAAAATACAAAAAAAAAACAAAGTTGTACTTCTATGTGAAATGAAAATTGAAAAATATTTAAATGAATAAATTTCTGTTAATTTTTCACTTGATATCTGGGAATAAATTTTTCAAAAACAAAAAAAAGAAAATTAAGGTAACTGAGAGACCAGAAAATACTGAATTTATTCTTAGTATTGAATCATTGAATGATATAAAATAAATAGGTGTATTAATTCTGTGTCTATATGTAGATATATAAATGGATAAATGAACAAGAAGAGAAAATTAAAATAAAATTCAATTTAATTAATCGTTATGTAAAAAAATTATTTAGTGAATAAACGAAATTGTATGATCATCTTGTATTGTCTTTGATGGATAATTGTCTCACATCGGACACAGATTAGCTCCATTCATCATGGATTCTTACTTGAACTGCGAGAATTACCTCTTGAAGACAGTCTATAGTGAGCATATGATCATTTTCAGTATAGGGTTGTGAAGATTGTTTAGTTTTTGATTGATATCATACATCGATCAATGGTAGACCACCTTTGAAAACCTGAAAACAATGAACAGTCGTTTCATCCTAGGATGAAACTCATAAGCAGTTGTCTAACATTGATAGATCTCAATCAAGAACTCAACGATTTCTACAACCCAACACTGATATTTAGTGATTAATTTACAATGTTCTTATTTGAAGAAAAATTAAATGATATATGAAACAGTGACTCAGCGGTTAAACATTTAACACTAATCTACTGCATTGTAAGCTTGAATCCTACCTCAGCTGTTTTCATTTCGACCTATCATATTGCTACAATAGTCTCCACAAATAATAACCAAAACATGCTGACTTTTAGATAATGTCTATTACATTAAATTAACATAGTGTATGTTAATAATTATGGATGCATAATAGAATCAATCTATCTTGTAAATAATATGTACCCAGTTATATATATATATATATATATATATATATATATATATATATATATATATATATATATATATATATATATATATATATATATATATATATAATCACTTCAAATTATTTGCAATAATAGCAGATAACAATCTGAAGATATCAAATTTGATAAAAATGACAAAAAGTTTAAATTCACTTAGTGTTGTTTGCTTGTATCTTCCCATGAGGACTCAGTAGCTAAGTGAATAACACGATGACGTTTGATGCGATTGATACTGGGTTCGAGTCCCAGAGTGAACATTAACTCTGAGATGTACGTACATCCAGCTGACGAGTCCCAAATAGGACAAAATACGTGTTGTGGATTCCACTGCTAGCCAATATCCATCCTTTCTAACAAAATGTTTATTTTAGTTTATTTCTGTTGATAATTTAATCTTTTATTATTTTTATTGTCAATTGTTTCACAGTTGCAAATTTATTCATTCAACAATGAATTATACAATAATTTATCTGAGGCATTTTATCGTCCGAATGGTATACTTGCTATCAGTGTTTTCTTTAAAGTAAGTTTTGTAAATGAATACAATGATTATAATTTAAAACTATATAATAGATAAACATATATATATTTCAAACGTCAATCTAATGTCATTCTATCACCAGATATATATTTGTATAAATAATAGATAATGTGAATAAGAGGTAACTGGGTTAGTAAAGCATTTAATAAGTAAGAAATTTTACTTATAAATTGTGTTTACTCAGTTAGATTGACAAAGGAAATTTATCAAGAAAAATTGTCAAAAATGAGGGTGTAGGGGTCTCTTGGTTGTCCTGAATTTAATTCATTTTAGTAGCTGGTTCACTTGGAAGAAAAAGACTTTTAACATTTTTTCTGTTGACAATATTCATTTTGTACACCCACTAGTTGCCATCTGTAACGTAACTTTAATTCCTAGGCACTTGTAATAGAATTTATTTATTGTCGCTACAGAAATCAATCTTAAAAATAAATAACTTATTTCTAATTATCCTGTAACAGTAATGATACATAATCTTGATCCATAACGTCCAGTTTGATATATTGAATTAACATTCCGTAATGTTCAAACGAGATGAAGCTCAGTAAAATTTCAGGGTTGAAGTATTCTAAGTGTGCTACTGTCTCCAATCCCTCCTCAACGATTATAACTTTGTGATCCAAACTAGTCAACTTCAGGAGGTTTCAATAATAATATATTTATCTGAGTATATTAGCTTGATAAAATTGCCCAGCTTATCACTCTTGACAACTTTAGAAACTATTTTCCAAATCAATTTTACTGAAGGCTTAGACATTAGTAGGCTTTAATAAACAATATCTTTTCTACTTTACAGATTGGAAATGCAACGAATAAGGACCTTTTAGGAGTTGTAGCTGCAGCTGAACAAACAATATTTAAAGGTAAATATTTATCGCTATTAAATTATGGTCATTATATATTATTCATCAATGGAATAATTTTTCTTTGAATAACCATTTCTGAGATAGTAAGATTTCATCAGTTTAGATCTTATAAACTATTTGATATATTTTGTTAAACTCATTAGTGATACTTAAATATATCATAGGAAGTTTTACAATATATGTGAGGGAAAATTTCCAAACAGTAGCTTTATTATTATATCGATACCTTTTACATCAATGTATTGAGCACTTTTATCAATCAAGCAACTAGTCATTATAAAAAGAATGAATTGCTTCCAAACAAGATGTTTTCTGCTTTCGCCTAGTTCAATCACTTCATCACTTCAATACAAGCATAGAGGTGCAAACACTCTACATCTATTTACATGGTAAAAGTAATGGTTTGTAACTTTCTGTTGTTAACATTCAGGATTGCAAATGATCAGTCTCTATTGTTATATATGCGTCCTTAATTGATCCTCTCGATATTATCTTACGCTCTAGTAAAGAGAATTGTGAATAGTAGTGAATTCCACACACTTTATCCGATTTGGGACTCATAATTTTAACATTCCTATGTCATTGCCGTAATTTTCTCAGTTAGTTTGGACTTTTAGTTTGATACCCAAGTTTTTTATAAGTTACAAAAACATACCCTTTATTTAAACACTTGGATGTTTCCAATCTGATGAATTCAATAATGAGTTCAAAGTATTTCGGTACAGTTAGATATATGTCTTGAATAATGTAACTAAAGATAAACATCAAAAGACATGTTTTTCATTTACAGTATAAGTTCTCATAATTTTTAAATTGAACTTTATTTGAAATTTAATTATAACTCTCGATGTTGAATCTCAAACCTGCTTGGTTCATTGGTACTTTTTGTTATCGAGGGACATTTAGCGCAGATTTTAAAAATCGAAATATTAAATTAATTAATTGTTGACTAACTTTGGTATCCATTTCTTTTTCTACAATATAAACATAATAACCATTATATTCATATTGGTAATAAAATTATCCACCTTGACAACTGAACTAAGTAATGTTTTAACTTACTTAGACAGAAATTCTTTATACACCTTTTGAGGATTCGATAGATTTTTGAAAAAAATCATTTTCATACTGAAACATAAACTACTCATAAATCGGGATTTCTGTTGAAGATGCTGAATCCCTATAAATCTCTTGATAAACGTTTTAATTTTGTAATTTTATTTTGGAAATCTAAACTTCTCGTTTCCGTACTGAAAGCGTCAATTTTAATTTTCAGATTATATTTCCCACTTAGAAAGATCTTAAATGTCATTGGCTCATTGCCTCTTTTAATACGCCAGTTTGTAAAGTTTCCCAGGAACCTTTTTATGCCATATATATGCTTGAGTTGATTGCCTGGTTCGCTCGTGCTCCTGGCTGCTTGTAGAATATACTTTTGTCGCAGTTATGAATCTGATATTCTCCTTCTAGTTAACAGAGCTAGGAAGAATTGAACTAGTTTAGATTATCCTGTTAATTGTGTTATAGACCTTCGTTCCATTTGCCGTTTTTTAAGTAATATCATGATCTTTTCAAACATTACAATTTCATCAAAGAACCTACAAATAAAATATTTGATAGTAACAGTTCTAATAAAAAAATTTAGCTTTTTTATTTCTTTATTGTAAACTTTTTCACACGAAACAACAATCAATCATTTTTATCCATTAATATTCTTTTTTAGGAAAATTTTATAAATCAGGTCAAAAATGTAAATAAAATTATCACAAATAGACTGAATTATAATTACCTTATATGATTTAATAATCATAAATTGTATACAACTAAATAGTTTACTTACAGAAAATAAGTAATTCAGTTCAATAAACTAATAAATAAATGTAAAGTATCTTTTTTTTTTTATTAAAATATGCTTTTGAAGTTTCCTTTTTGAATGGTGACATTCAATTGGCTTGTTTTATATTTTTTTTTTAAATGATGTGAATAGCTCTCATCATGCATGAGTAGACACGGTTAACCCCTTTTTTTTATTTATTACACAGGTGATTGATTTAATAAGAGAAGTTTCATTATGACAATAAACTGATAAAGTTTAATTTCAAAAAAGAAAAAAAAATATCTTGAAGATAATTGTCATGTGGAGTAATAGACTAACTATGTAGTTCTTTTGATGATCTTAATTTAATAAACATTTATTTATTGTGTTGACAAGAAACTAACTATAATTATTCATTGAAAACTCATTAGGATTTTATTTGCCCTATACACTTTAGTCATCACTTTTTTTTAAAGAAAACAATCGTTTAATTCTGAGAAACTTATATTATGATTAGAGAGGTTGTTCGTGAAGTTTTGAATAACTGGATAATGGTATTCACTGCGAAAAAATTGATAATATTTGAAGAACAATTCAAAACTGAAGTGTAATTTGCTCAGTGATCTCCTATTAGGTCAGAAATACCAAGTAAAACTTCTACTAGACCTTCCAATATTCAAACTAAAGTTTAATAGTTATTAAATAAATGTTGCATACATGGTTTAGCAAAATGAAACATTACAAATTGAATGCCTAAAGACCGAATTCGTACTTTAATTTCAAACCCATTTTCAATTTAGTTCGTAAGTTTATAGAGTGATTGGAATTCAGCAGAATTGCATATCACTATACGGCTAAATTCTAAACAGTAAATTCTAAATCAAGCTAAGTTGGTATTTTCATCACTAACTAGTGAATTCATTTACATAAAAATCTATTATGGGGAACTAGCTTATGTTGTAGCTGGAAATTCAATCAATGTATGAAGTAAGCGATATCGTGATTGAATGTGCAGTCTACAATGTAGAAAATAAGTGTGAGTTAAAGACTAATAAGATCGTCCAAGATCACTAACATTTAAACTTTAGAATAGTACTTGATGTAATGAGTAATTTCAATACTGATTAGTATTATTTTAGTTATCATTATGGCGTTTCCATTAACCAATCAAAACATATGATTATTTCTTAATGCAAATAATTATTATAAATACTATTATTCTGACTGTTTAGTACTACTTTTCAAACTTCGTTTGCAGGTGAAACATTCCAGCTAAAAGGTCTTGAACTGCGCTCATTATTAACATCAACACATGAGTTTATGACATATGAAGGATCATTGCCATTTCCTCCATGCCATGAAACAGTTACCTGGATCATATTGAATCATCCAATAATGATTACTGAAACTGAAGTAAGTTTACGAAAAAAAATCCTAATTCTTAAATGAAATTCACACATTTTCTCTAATGATTCCTATAAGTGTTTTAAGTCAGTAAAAACACGAGCACTAGACTCGAATGAAATCACTTTATAGGAGGATTTCTCTTCAGCTACAAACAATCCGAATTACACAATCTCTCTCTCGAATATTTCAACTTTTAGGACAAATTAAACATTTTGGCGGATTGCAATAGAACAAAATATTTATTATCCGGTAATTATCGACAAATTTCCATAATAAAGATGAAAGACTTCTTGATCGATACATGAAAATCCAGAATTTCTTAAAAGAAATATTTTTTTAAACCTCATTTAAAGGGTTTTATAATCATTAAAATGATAGTTATTAGTATTATGTAATATAGTCTTTATGGCACACTGAATTTTATCAGACAATCATGCAATAAATATATTAGTCAAGGATAATTGACATCACGATACATTTACATAATCTAAGAGTTCATGTATATCGTCATTAAGATGATTAGTGTATTTAACCCGATTTTATATAAAGTAATTTGCTATTTGGACAACATAATGTAAGTGTTTCTACGCCACTGAAAAGTGCTAGCTTATATTTTCTCTTTATTGTTAAATACCAGAAAACAATCAAACCTGGAACTTGGACTCACTTGGTACTGTTTGGTTTGTATCTTCCCATTGAGCACTCAGTAGCTGAATGGATAACGCGATGGCGTTTGAAGTGAAAGGTAGTGGGTTAGAATCCCAGAATGAACATCAACTCTGAGATTCAGCTACATCCAGCTGACGAGTCGCAGATAGGACGAAACGCGCGTCCTGGATTCCACTGCTAGCCACTATCCAACATTGCTTACTAGAACTTGAACTTTTAACCTATTGCTTTCAATTGTTTACCGAAATTAAAAATGTATGTTTGTTCATTCTTTCTCAACTCAATATAGTAATAGGTAATAAGTATCACTTTTAATGTAACAGTTTAAAAAAATTCATCGCATGCATATCATTAAAAAAATTATCGATTCAGTCTGATATTTAAAAGAAAAAAGTTGGAATTTATTTTTTGAATGATAAAACAAAAATAATTTTCAATTAAACATTAAAAAAATTGAAAACACGAAGTTCAGCTAAGGGATCACTTTTCAACGAATTTATTATCAAGCTGTACAATAGTATATATATGAACATTTTTGTTGTTGTTAAAGTACTAATTCCGTCAGGAAATGTGAACACGCGTAACTAAGATGACGTGATAGAGGATTATAATACTAGATTACGTAATACGAATAATAACAATAGATTTAGTGAATGTAATAAGATGATTAAAATGAAAACAGTTGAGATCATGAGTCGATTGAGGCTAGACCACCATGTAAAATCTGGAAGCACTGGAAGGTCGTTTCGTTCTATTGTGGGACTCCTCAGCAGTGCGCATCCACGACGCCGTCTCGCGGGACACGAACCCAGGACCTATCAGTCTCGCGCCAGGCATTTAACCAACTAGACCACTGAGCCGGCATCCAACGGTGTCAATGTCTAACTTCAACTAATCCATGAAATTGAGTGACACATCCACCATTGTCATCAGTGAGTTACTACCTCACAACTGACCCGGTTGAACTCCACTAGTCACTGCTTCTCACTAGAACTCCAGGATATATATCTTGAAGCCAGTCACTAGTGAGCATATGTTGATTAGTATCAGAAGGTGTTTTGTGTAGATTGTAATAATTTAATCATTAAATGTTTTTGTTACAATAATTAAGGGTCATTAAAGGTTATAGAGGTGTAAAAATAAATAAGGTGATATGATGAGTATTTATGAATAAATCAATGAGAATGTAAGACAAAAGTAAAGGGGAAGGCAGTAATAATAATAATATTAATTAAGGTCAAGGTAACGATAATGATAAGACGTACTTCTTCTTTACGCATAGTTCTGGTGTGAGCTCATGGATGGTAAGAGCTTCGGCTATTTTTAAGAGTTGGATACGAAGAAATCTAGGTAGATTTAAATGAATCATATAAACAACCTTAAAATCACACTGTGGATCCGGATATTGATTACATTCGATTAGGTGTTCAAGTATAGAACTCCTATCTACCTTCCTTTCACCCTTTTAGAACCAAACTAGGATATGTTCCCGTATCCGAGTTTAATGAGAACGCTGGCTACAACTAATATACCTTGGTTGTACAGCCTGATAATAAATTCGTTGAAAAGAGATCCCTTCGCTGAACTTTGTGTTTTCAAAACAAAAGTAATAGATAATTCATTTAAAATTTGACTCAACTACTCTATATATTTATAATGTGATTAAATAAATTGGTTAAATGAGTAATATAATAGTAATAAAGTTTCCATCGCTTATTCTATATTTTTCTATAAAATGAAAAATGTTTCTTGAAGGATCAAACTCTTAAGGTTAGAAAAAAAACATCCGTGACTTTGTTTAAACTGAATATAAATATGAAATTTCTTTATTATTATAAAAGTACAAATGATAATTCATTTTGCCAATGTACAATAATCAAATGAATTTCTACCGACAAAAATTCTGTTTATGGTTTTATTTAAAGAAAATAAAAATAATGTTAAACTTATTTTTCATGTTTGACAAATTCTTTCAATCTACTTAAATGATCAATTATATTTTTTATTAAGTTTTTCATACAAATTGATATGCACTAAATGTGTGTGTGTGTGTGAGTTTTTATTTGTCTCCTCAACATCATAATGATGTAGGCAAAAGTAGAATTTCTATCGAATTATTAAAATAATAAATAATTATAAAATGGTATGTAATATTTATAAATAATATTTTTTTGTAAAAAAAAACTTGTCAAATATTAACAAAGTTTATGAGAACACGAAGAAGTGGAAGAAGAAAGCGGGAATTAAGATACAAAGTGTCGTAAGATTATTTTCTACATAAGAATCTATGTTTTGGATCTTAAAGATCATAGTTTCTCCACCATTCATCTGTCCTCCCCCCCCCAAAGAAGGAACAGAACATATTTGCTGGAACAACTCCCTATTAATATATAGGGAGTTGAAACATTATTTCTACAGGATCAATAATGAAAATACTATGAGCAACAAACTACTGTGGGAGAGAACAAACCAGATTCCAGAAAAGGAAAAAGCGCTGAAAGTGGATAAGACACGCATTGAGGAAAGTACCCAACTGCGTCACGAGGCAAGCCTTCACATGGAATTCTGAATACCAGAGGAGAAGGGGCGAATCAAAGGACACATTACGCCGAGAAATGGAGACAGATATTAGAAGAATAAGCAACAATTGGATAGAAGTAGAAAAAAAGGTTCAGGACAGAGTGGGCTGGAGAATGTTGGTCGGCTATCTATGCTCCATTGGGGGTCACAGGCGTAAGTAAGTAATAATGAAAATGATAGAAACAAAAGAAAGTAAATGTAATAAAGATCATTAGGAATCAGAATACGGGTTATTAGAAAAGTTATCAAACGTTCTTCTTCATATGAATCTTCAAACTATTTTCATACTGAACTGTTTTAATTTGAAGTAATTGATAATATTTGGAAAAATAGTTTAGATTACGGAAAATCTATAGAAACTCACGTGCAATTGAGTTTGTTCTCATTTAACCCGATTAAGCCCTTTTGTTAACTTATTTAGCGGACAAAGTCATCCGTAATATAACAATTTATTGTACCTTTATTATTGTTCTGCTTGTATGAAATATGTATGTTTGAACATTGCTTACCGCCTACCCATACATTTATTCTGTTAGCTTTATTATTAGCTGCTTAATTGATTCGATGATTCATTCATTTCCTTATATATATACATGTACATTTACACTCTACACTCTCTCGGTTCGCTGACTCATTCATTTGCCTCCCTGCTTTATGGTCTGAGTTTTCTGCTAATAAAACTGTAGTCGCTGCTTCTCTTTGCCTTCTGATTTCAAACACCGTTAAGGATTATATGGTAACGGTTAAGAGGGTGATTGGTCAACGAAGCACAGCCACTACAAATCACAAGAATAGATTATTAATTTTAATTGTGTACTGAAATGTCGAAATAACCATCAGATTAGAGTGTACTAACATTTACATTAAAATATTTTTTTAAAAAGGGTTAAAATTCATTTATTTTATCGTGCATACAATAAATATATTTAGATGGTGGTTGGAGGTAGTCAACAGGATACCCTGAACCCGGGTTTCGTGCTACTTGGCACTCATCAGCAAGGTGTACCTGTAATCGATCTACACTAATAAGGACTAGACAAGTATGACATTGATCACCACCCAGTGATCAATCAATTGTGATACAATAAATATATTATTATATAAATATCACAATTTATTGAAAAGTTTATTTGTCGTAGAAATAAAGGGAGAATACAAAAACCAAAACTTCGAGGTTCAAGTGACTGTCTTAATATTAGCAATTGAATTTGTCACTTCTTTTAAAAGTTCATAGTTCGTAATCGTTCTTATATAATGTTGTAAATTGTAGCCTTGTGCCCTTATCACAATGATATATAACGTAATGATACCGCCAATTAAAGAACAGTGATTTATCGACCGGACCAATAAAGCGTAAACCCATACGAGCAGTTTAGAGGCTTTATTGGTCCTTTTTCCTTCCTAGCCTTGCCTGTTAAGTCTGGAACACCAATCATGTATTTCAAACATACTGGATTTATATACAAATCAAACAGATCACATCGCACAACAAAATAGAAAAAAACATTTGTACATGATCTAACCAAAAGTGGCTGTGAGAGTGGGAGACTGTAATTAATAGACTGAGCAGAACTCAAGAACAGTAAATCGTATAATAATAGTCTATAGGTCAAAATAAAGCTTATAATAAGAGAAACATAAATGTGCATAGTTTAGCTAATTAATAAATATATAATAAAAATATATGTATCGTATTGGCCCATTAATAATAATAACAAATATTTCTCAAAAGTTACCACCCATAATTCCCGTCGGGA